TCGAATCGATGTTTTGACAATTCTAGTAGGTTTGTTTGATGATTTTGGACTTACACATGTTTGTTGATGTCCCAGGTAACTCGAGGCCATTTCAGCACTTATAGTTGAAAGTTGAAATTTTGAGTTTATGAACATTTGAATTCTTTGGTTTTAATATCTGATTCTTCATTTTAGATGTTATTTTGATGTTTTGAGTTTGCGAGCAAGTTCGTGTAAGGTTACTATACTTGTATGTATATTTTGAATAGGGATCGAGGGGCTCAAGTGAGTTTCGGTTTGGTTTCGGGTTATTTTGGTAAGTCTAGCAATTGCTGGTGCTGCAGTTGTTGCAATTGCGATGAGCTACAAATGCGAGATTCACAATTCCAATTGTTAACTGCATTTGCAATGTCTAGGAAGGGGAGGCCAGCTTCGCAATTACGAAGATTTTGTCACATTTGCGACTTTAGTTGCTTATGTGCTACTTAGCAATTGCGACCACTAGTTCACATTTGCGAGCTGCACAATTGCGAACAGTAGTTCGCAATTAGGATATCTGCAACTGGGTAAAAATAAGGAATTTTTGGATTAGCTCATTTTATTCTATTTTTGAGACCTAAACTACATATGGAAGCGATTTCTGAGAGAATTTTCTTCCCAACTTCATAGATCAGTGAATTTAACTTAGTTTTGATTTATTTCTATTATTTTTCATAGATTTTCACCCCTTTACCTATGATAAGAATAGAAATAGAATTTTTGGGTAGTAACTTAAGATTTTAAATTTCAGAGATATAGCACTCGATTTGATGTTGTATCTTGAAATAAATCACATATTTGAACTTAGGGAGGTAATCAGGATTTGGTCCTGATTTTGGATTTGACCAAGTAGGCCTAGGTTGGCCTTTTGTTGACCTTTTCAAATATGTTAAATTTTTAGTATTAGGAGGGTTTCTAAAGGTTATTTTGACGTATTTGAGTATTATTTGACTAGGTTTAGTTATTTGGAGGCTTGTCTAAAGGGGAAGCAATTTTGGATTGTTAATTTGTTCCGAAAAGAGGTAAGTGTCTTGATTAATATTGGTTTGAGGGAATTAGATTGTAATTAGGTCTATTTGCTACGTGTTATATGTGTTGGAGGCGGCGTATATGCAAAATAATGAGTGTATATGCATTTGTCAGGGTTAAGGCATACGGGTAGATCTAGCCTTATTCATGCCTTGTTTGCTTCATGTATTATTTCTCTTATGCTTTAGATAGTTTATTAAGTTACTTGTTTTATCCTATGCATGCTGGTAACTATATATAAGTTTTGTTGGGATATTTGGACATTACGGTTCTTGAAATGTTGATTCATCTATTGTGCAAAGGTCATGATTATCTCTTACATGGTGTTTATGCTTAATCACTCTTCTTTATGTTATTTATACTTCTCACTTTGCTTGGTACTGATTTACATATATTTGGTGAGGATGAGTGATGATACACGATGGCTATTTTCGTGCTGTGAGGATAGATATTATGCATAATGGGTGTTTCCGTGTTGTGAAGATGAGAGATATTGCACGATGAGTATTTTTGTGCGATGAGAATGAGTGATATATACACGACAGATGTTTCTGTACTACTGATATGATTTTCTTTTACTCATTTCTCTTATTATACGAATTCATGGGTTTGCCTTTATTGTTTTCCTAGTTATCATTTCATCCTCTTGGATTTGAGTTGTTTAGAAAGGTTTGATGGTGATATTTGAGAAACATGGCCGCTATTTCTTTTAGTTAAATGATTTTACTTTTTCTTGTATGTATTTCTGTTGTCTATCTTGATATTTATTTTGTTATTTCTCTTGTTACTTCACTTTATTTTTCTTCTTATTTCTCTTACCTATTAACTGCACATGTTTATAAGTAGGTATCTTGTCGTAGCCTCATCACTAACTCATCGGAGTGAGGCTCGATACTTACCGAGTACATGAGATCAATTGTACTCGTACTATACTTCTGCACTTCTTGTGCAAATCTTGGTATTAGTCCCAGCGGAGTCCTAGATGTGCTTAACGTAGACATCTAGGTGATTTCAGGTAGTGCCGCATCTCCGTCCGCAGGCTCTAGAGTCACCTTCATTATCTCTGTTACTGTTTATTTGTATTAGACATTGTTGTATTTCATTGCAGATTTTGCATTTAGTATTTCTTAGAGGTCGTGTACCCAGTGACATCAGTCTTGGGGATTTGTTCTGACAATGTATTAGTTATACTTATTATTTGATTTTGAAGCTTTTACCCTTATTTATGATATTATGTTGTTAACCGTTTATCTGTTGTTTCATTACTTATTGTAAATATGTTGGCTTGCCTAGCAAGTAGATTAGGCATCATCATGACCCCTTGGTTAGGATCTTGGATCGTGACAATGCACTTTCTTAAGTTTATGTTAAAAGTCTCTTTTCCTCTTTTGGATCCTTAATTGATGATAGATTTATGTTATAATCATAGGTTTGAGTGAAAATCACTTACTTCATCGTCTTATTAGGTGAACATCGCTTCAATTCGAGTTCCCTAACTCCAAAAATTCTAAATTAAGCTTATAATATGAAATGAGGCTATTTATAGAGGAAATTCAAAATCAACTGAATATTTATCCTGCTACATCGCCCCCCGCATCGTCCCATGGGTCACATCAGGCTTGCTACCTGCAACTTTTTTGTTGTCAAATACTGATCTGCCACTGTTCAATAAAATAGTCATAAGTCTTTGCATAAATGTCCAAATAACGAATGGATTGAACCTATGAAAACTAGATTCAAAGAGCTATATTCTCATCAAAATCTCATCTCCAAAGTTTTTAATATATTGGGAGAAACACTCTCATGAAATTAGATTAGCTACAGAAAAATCTTATTTCAGTAGTTCGATTATTTCAAAACTTGCTCCAAACGCACCGAAACTTACCCCATCCCCTCGAGTCTCCTCCAAACCATTCCAAAAAGTTAAAATATCATATATGGTCTTTTCCAGAGGCTCAAACCTTGATGTACTTTCAAGGTTTTGCACCTCTCAAGCATAAAGAAGAGAGAAAACAAAAGCACCTCACTAAAGTTTTTCACAAAACTAGTGAAACATTCTTCAAACTCACGTAAGATTAAAAGAACCTTACCCATTCCTTTTTTAATCCCACAAGATTGTAAGAAACGTTGAATAAAGGAAGAAGAATAAAATATAAAATAAATCACGTTTTGTAGCAAGAGCTTAAAAAATAAATCACCAATATTTATTTTCAGCATATTGAGCCCTTTAAATAGGCCTTATAATGAGTAAAATTGATAAGGTTAAGAAAAATTAATCCTAATTAAAATAGAATAAGAATAAGGCTTAGAAAATCTATCCTAACTAAAACATGAAAGAATTCTAGTATGAATGAGATACCAACTAACAATTCTAGTTTGACTAGATGTATAAATATAATCCTACTAAAATCACAATCAAATAACTAGGAAACAAGAAATAAGAAATCCTATCTTCATGGAAAAGAAATGCTAATTTTGAATGGATTCTTGGACTTCTTGAATTTCTTGGATTCTTGACCTTCTTGATCTCGCATCAAAATTCAAATGGGATTGCTGAACATAAAGATAACTCTCACGTCAAATTTATGAGTCTTCAATTTTCAATTTCCATGCAATAGTGTTGAATCACACTCGAGCCACTCAACTCCTAATTTGAGCATACATACAAGTCCATCATTTATGCGAGCCTATGGGAACTTTCAATTTATGATTTTGAGTCCGTTTACCCAAAATCTTGACTTTTCTCAATTATGTTAACTTTAAGGCTCTAGTTAGGAATTAAGTATTTCATATTATTGTCGAACCTCTCTCGGGACCCAAATAAACTATACATGCATGTCATAAACCATCATATGAACCTACTCATATGGAGTGGTAAGTACTCCTATCCTTAACTAGATGTCTCGGGTTCGAGCCCTGGTTACGGAGTCGCCTTTGTTAGGGAGCGCTTTACCTCCAACGTGGGATTTCCTGGCGCGAATTCGGATTTAATCGGGCCCCAATGCGAGTACCAGATAATGGGTGAGAAAAAAAAAAGAACCTACTAAGATCTCAAATCATAGAACGGGATGCTAGGACCCAAACAACGTGTTGGATCGTTTCATAATACAATATCATCAGCAAATAACATACCATCAGACATCATCTTTTATTGTATTGGTTAGTTCACCCATAATTAGGGTAAACAGAAATTTAATATTTTAGCTCTTGCACTAATATAATATCTACGTTAAAATTAAATTTTTAAACTTCATGTCCAATCCATCCGATCATATAAAACGCGCAAAAAAGTATATTTATATTTAAACATTCAACTAAGAGAACTAAATATCACAAATTACTTGCTTAAGTTTAATCAAATACTAGTATCTCATTTCTGTCCAAAGCTTTATTTATTTATTTATTTATTTATTATTTTTGCAATCATTTTAACATACGGAAAATGATATATCTACTTCGGCTTAATAAAAAAATCCGTAATTAACTATGAATCTTTTACAGAGAAAATTCAACTGGGCAACAATAACTAATTGGTGATCTTAAATTTGAACTCATAACCTATCACTAAGACTTATGATTCAGTAGTATTGATGGATTTATGGCACAAAATACGTATAAATTTATATTTTCATCCTTTTTCCTTTCTCCTTCTCCGATCCTTAATGGAATGGGCATTTTTTAAATAAAAAAATATAGACCTATTAACACTATGATTTATTAAAATAAGGGGTCCTTTATTTTGCGGGAATATGTTAAACCAAATTAACGGCAGAATTTTTGCCCGTCAATCTTAACTTATTCGGGTGAACCGTTAGGATTTTGCTGTCAAGTTCTAATTTTTTTTTTTTTGTCGCTGTCAAAGTTCTATTAGTAAGGTTATTTTGCAAAATCTTTTTAAGCGAGGTTAAAACCTAATCAGCATGCTAAAAGATCCTATTTGTGCTACTCGGCAGCAAAAGGGCTGAAGTAAACCCGACCCGAAATAAAGCAAGTATCAGCAAGAAAGTGAACATTAGTCTAAATATTTGCTTTACAGAAATGCTTCTTAGTTATTGAAGCCATTAGTTCTCAGTTTAAGAAGAGTTGTCAAAACCTGTGATTAACTGCATCGAAGATGTTTCTCACAAGGTAACATTACACTTGGCTTAACCTAGGGTATATTCGTGATACTGTTTTCCTTTTCAAATCTGACTTAGACATTTTGGTATGAAGAACTGAGTACGATAGAGGTGTTAACACTTTCTCTCCTGAAGGCCGCCTATTTCAAGTCGAATATGCAATTGAAGCCATTAAGGTTATTTATTGGTTGGATTTTTAATTTATGTGTTTGTGACGATTTGTGCAATTGACAATTCTATTTGGGGGTCGTGATTTTTTTTGAAAGCTGGGTTCGACTGCCATTGGGTTAAAGACAAAGGATGGAGTCGTTCTTGCTGTTGAGAAGCGCATTACCTCACCTCTCTTGGTTTGTAACCTTTTCTATCCTTTTTCCTTTTGTGAATATTTGAATTTGTGTGTCAAATTACTTTGCTTTTTGATGAGTCAATGTTGTATGGTTATGATAATTAGGCTTGTAAATTTGTGGACTGGACTGCTTATGTTATACTAGCAGTATAGCACCAATTAATTTTGTTCTTCTTAATCAGTAGACAAAATGCTGGTAGAATTAATACATGTGACTCAGCTGGCCTTCAAAAAATCATTTCTTTATTAAAAGAAGAGAACAAAGAAATTCTGGTGAACTTTCCTCGGCTGAATTGTCTTCTTGTTTACGTTATGAGAGGAAGATAGAATAAGCAATTATTTCTCAGCAGGCAATGCGAGCTACAGGAATGACTTTTGATTTCTCTCTTCCCTTGTTGCATAATGTAATTGGTATAGCTTTAGGAGACATTGTCTAGTGATCAGTGAATTATTAAAGTAGCAACTAGTAAACTCTAGCTAAATATGGTAGTGGATAAATATGGGAAAACCGAGCAAATTTCTTACATTGAGAATATTGAAAAGCATGGTACAGTTTCCTATTTGTTGCCTTTTCTGCTTATTATGGTTTGCTTTGTCATCTGTCAGTTGTTTAAGCAGTTGCTGCAGATTATGAGTGGAGAGCCCACTGTCGGCCTGTCAGTTGTTTCACTAATTCGGTGTTTTCCTCATTCACATCATTGTTTTGATACTCTTACAGGAACCAGGTAGTGTGGAGAAAATTATGGAAATTGATGAGCACATTGGTTGTGCGATGAGTGGACTAATAGCTGATGCCAGGACACTTGTTGAACATGCACGGGTTGAAACTCAGGTATTTAAATAGAAGACACAATTTTTGTAGTTCAATTTTACGACAAATAATTTTTTGCAATGGAATTCTACAGCAAATAATTGACTGAGCTTTCTTGTTTTGTTCTATGTCTCAATAGAACCATAGATTCTCCTATGGTGAACCAATGACAGTTGAGTCCACCACACAAGCTTTATGTGACTTGGCCCTGCGATTTGGAGAGGGTGATGAAGAATCCATGGTTAGAATCATTTTTACTATTATATGTACTTACTCTCTTATTTGGAACTCAACACTTTCAACTCCTCTTAGTTGAAAGATTTCAGTGTCCTTGTTGTTGATGTCTGATTTTTGAAAGCATGGTATTGGTCCAAATACACCTTTCTGCATTCCCCATTTATCTGGAGCTACATGGCTTACCTAAATTTAACGGGATGATTAGATATTTTTAGTTAGCTTAACTAATTTGAAAAAACAAATGGTGCCTTTCTGCTTGAGTTCACATGTTGTTTCTCCTTATGTGGGTATGAAATGGAGAAAGGGTCAAGGAACTTATATTTCGCAGTCATGTGAAAAATTCAAAGTAATTCTCATTCTCTATCCCTTGTGTCAGTAGATATTATGTACGTGATATTGACTGTTGACCATGCTTCAATGTCTTCACGTTTTTGAAAGTTGTATTAGATTTGTTTGGATCATGAAAATCAGTAATTTGTTGCTCCTCTTTCTGTTGAAAGCCTTTTGAGTGCTACTATATTAGATGGACTCTTCACTTTCTCTTGCATACCTATGTTGAACAAATGATCTTTGAGTAAGCATGTATTATTAAAATGATATGATTTTGAGTAGTTGATATTGGTATTTCTTATTGATACATAAAATATGCTACGAAGCGGCTAAAAAAAGAATGTAGCCATGCCATATACATACATATATCCATTAAGTCATACCCAAGCCTGTTTAATTTCAAAACTTTACCTATCGTAATGGTAGATTAGGTTGCGCACCCAAGGGTGCAGCCTAATAGTCATTGAAGTGGGTGCAAATCTTGGAGATGGGGGTACATATTCTAGTGTAGATAAAAAAAACACACTATAATTTCTTCCAATTTGCCTAAACCTTGGTGGGCAGAGTTACCCTGTACTTGTGCTGGTGGGATGTAGCATGTGTTCGATGGAATAATCGAGGTGTGTGCAACCTGACCCAAAAGCTACCCTTATAAAAAAGGGAAAGATTTGGTGGCTAACTCTTGGATCCAAGATCTTTCTTATTGCTAGAATCTGCTATTGGAAGAATGTCCACCATACAACCTCTTGGTTTCTTTGCAGTTGGTTTACTTTCTCAAAATATACCTTCTATCTGCAATCTAGTCTCCGGAAAGATACTCTTGTGAACTTTATTGTAGAGTTTGATTGGCTCTAGCAGCTCTGCATATATAAAAGTTGATTTTCCAGCAAACTTTCTTATAAAGAGTTCATATCTTTAAATGGTGCTTTATCTGCTGGTGTGAATGCGCACTATAACCAAGCAAGATTGCTTGGAAACTTCTGTTATTTAGGAAAGAAAGCGGGAGCTAGCTTGTGCCTAATGTTCTGATTTATGGACTTTACTTCTATGTTGCGCGGACTCTCTAAAAATGTTGTCACACCCGTGTCGGATCCTTAAAATATGCACTACTTTTGGATGATCCGACGCGTACCCGGCACCATTTTTGCAGAGTCCGAGCAACATAGCTTTGCTTAATATTTTCATGGAAAAGAAAGATGAAGGGCAACGGCTTGTTTCAAAACAAAATTTGATATGCATTGAGTTTTATTCTGGTGAAGTTGCTCTGTAATATACAATTAATAAACTTGGTGCATTGAGGACCTGGTTTGCATTTGACGATTTTCTATAGGGTGTATCTGTCTTGTTCCCTTGTTTGTGTTTATTGGTGGCATTATCGTGTCTGGCCTTTCTTGTTTTATGGAGTAATTTTTTCAAAAAATACTATCTGGAAATTTTGGCAAAGTGAACTAATGTCTGAATCTTGTTAAAGATCACACATACTTTCTAATTTCTATTACTTAATTCTTAAAGAATCTTATAGGCTTCCCTTAATTTCTATATCTTTCTTTCTGAGCACCTCCCTTTTTTAATCTTATGACTAGTGTAAGATTCAAATCTATCACCTTTGTGCATTACTTTCGTGTTTCTTTTGTTCGTGCAGTCCAGACCTTTTGGCGTATCTCTTCTTATTGCTGGTCACGATGAGAATGGTCCCAACTTGTAAGTATTTTCATCCCTTGAATGACATTAGTGGAAATATAATATCTTTTCTTTTCCTAGGTTTTCCCTCATCTCTTGGATACCTTTTTTTTGGGGGGGGGG